CCCCAAAACCCCAAAACCCCAAAACCCCAAAACCCCAAAACCCCAAAACCCCTCTGATTTAATACAAATTGGAAATTTATTGCTATCATGAAACTTTCTAGTAGGGCACGTGAGGCATTCTGACCTTCATAGCGCCAGTCATTGAGTCTCTGAACTGGCCAACCTTTGAGCCTAAGTATGATTGAAACCAAAACTTACTTCTATTACCTGTACCGAAATGAGCTGATGGTCCAGACTTATTCTTTGATAAGTATTGTTTGCCCACAGATGACCTTGTGTCATAGGTCTGGTGCTTTGAAAGTCTCTTGCCATCTCCGAAGTTTCTACCTGCTTTCGGAAGAGTCCACTTGGGATAATCTTGCCTCTGGCTTGGATTTGGACAGGCCTCGGGTACATACCTTCCTGGACCAACAGTCTTTGTTGTAGAGGTTTTATTGATGAGGCTATCCTGATCTCCTTTGAGTCTTCTGTATCCGAAGCTAAATTTCTCAGAACTCTTAGAGTTAGGCTTCTGATTAACATCATAATCTGGCCCAGGAGTTTTAGAATAAGATGACACTGGCATACGAGGCTCAGTGCCTATTTTTGGAGCAAGGCATTTCTTCTTCCGAGCGTGATCAGCTTCGATAGGATCGTCAATGAATCTGTCATTTTCATAGAAGTCATACCTCGGCTTAGAGACTTCCATTTTAGGGCCAGAGCCAAAGCCAAAATTAGGCGCATTATCAAACTTAGTTCCATCTTCATAAACATAAACTGGGCCTGGAGAGTGCTTGCTAGCGAATTGCGTCTTTGCCATCTCTTGATCGATAAATACTTTATCACCATCGTCCTTTTTGGCATGAGGAAAACCTAGTTATCATTAGATAATAAATTTTATGATAACTTACTGTAATTTGGCGCAGTTTTTTCAACTGAAAGAGGTAGGATCCCAAAAGAAGTATGTGATGCCTCTGAGTCAAGTGCTCGGACTAAGTCTTTAAATGCTATATCAATAAGCATATTCACATCATACCTTTAGCATTAATTGGCTTATTCTCTTTTTGTTCGTCTTCAATTTCCATTTTAAATTTTTAAATTTTAAATTATCTCAATAAAAAGCAAGATAGAAGGGGTTTTGGGGTTTTGGGGTTTTGGGGTTTTGGGG